GGACGGGAAGGCGGGCTCTGACATGTTATTGTTGAGGAGACGAAAGGAGGACAAACTTGGGTTGGAGGTAAGGGACTTGGAATTCGAAGAAGGGTCTCCTTTGCCATCTGGGTTCCGTGTTCCACGTGATATTGAGGGCGGTATCTAGTTCAGAGAATATTTTGTTAGGATCCTGCCCGGTCAGCATGTGGGAGTCTCGGATTGCTTGCATGGCCGCGGAGTCTTTCTCCTCGAGAAGGTCGCTTTTCATTGACTTCCATGCATCTCGGGTCCTGGTCCTGATCTGTTCTTCGATAGCTTGTTGTGCCTGTTGCAGGCCGAATTGGGGTGCTCCTTTCTTTCAAAGGAGCAACTGGCTCTCCAAGCCAGCATGAGGATGTGCAATCGTGTGTACGAGAACAGATTGGACGCGAATGGGGACCAGTGCGCCTGCAGGTGGCAGTTGTCTCCCAGAAGCAGAAGACAAACGTCCCAGGAACCTCCTTGAGAGGCAAACCAAATGGAAAAAAAAATACTAAACTGGATGTTAGGATTCTTCGTGAGAGATCACCCCTCCCTCCCCCTACCCCTCCCCTCAGCCCTACACTGCCTCCGCTGAGGTGAGCGTCCCGCTCTCCCTTGGCCCCAATAACCAACCCTCTGCCCCCCTTTCCCCAACGACACACAGTTCCCACCTAAAGCATGTCCCCCCGCCCCTTGCCCATTCCTGCCTCTGCTGGGACTGATGTTGACCCACACACCAGCCCCTGCCCCAGAATAGGCCAACCCCCGACTCCGCCCCTACCCTCTTTGCGACATTCACCCCCCACCTTGTGATGCCCCTGCAAGATAGAGCCGCCCCCCTCCCCCTTCGTACCGTTCAGCCCTCTGGGAACAATCCGATCCATCCGACTACAGTTATTGATGACACACTTACCAAAATGTCGAATCACTTCATGCAAATCACAATTTGGAAAATCAGGGCCTCTTCAAAAATATGCAATAACCCCCGAAAACACCCTACATCTTTAAGAACAACCGGCTGAAGAAAGCGCAGGTCAGCAATAAGACTCTTACAATTATTCCCCTGCCCCTTGCGCCAATCAACGTTTGGCAGCTTTAACCACGTTCTCATATCAACAATTCCAAAGAAGCAAAAACTAGAAATGGTCTTCAAAATCTATGGCTATAATAGCAGAATTCCAAAGTTTTCGGGTTCCAAGATTAGAAAATCATGATAGAATTTTAATTGGGACTTTTAGAAGTTAATAGTCGAAACTCAAGGATACGTAATTATAGAACAGATCCCCACGAATTGTGGTAGCGATTCAGAATGGATGATAACCCATCAGGGCTTCCGTAAAGTTTCAAATGCTTAGTGACCAAGAGTATACGTAGTTTTATATATATGTTTGTGTGTATGTGTGTGCATGTAGATGATAATTTTGCTGATCATAAAATAGAAGATAAGATTAAGAGTATTTTTCCAAAATTTGAGAAACTGAATTTATAACTGTGTTGAAGATGGAATTTCATGCAAAATTAAAATCAGCGAACGCAATTTGAGAAGGCAGCCGACGCGAAGAGCGAAGCAATGCTACACATGCTCGCACGATATTCTCTTGCTCCATCGCCGCTGTCATTATTGCGCCGCTACCTGGTTCTGTGTCTTTAACCGGTGAACCAGCTCAAACGAACGCTTGAAACCGCCAGCTCTTTCTGATGCTCCAGCTTATAACAAACCTCCCTCTTCCCGCTCCGCATGAGAAGATGCTCCTAACTTTCTGCCCCCGCTGCCCAACCAACCTCCACTAGCCTTGCACAGGAGCATAGGAGCAGGGGCACTACCATGCCCAAGATCTCATGAAGACTATCTTAGCCACCGCGACAGCCTCTCCTTCCTCTAGCGTGCCAATCCGCAACACCACATAAACGAAGCACGGAGCAAGAGATCTCTTCAGGCTAGGTTGTCAAGGCCGGAAGAACCCTCAGTCGAAGCATCAAGTCGATGGCCGCGCCAGACAAACACCAACGGAACCTCACGCCATCGCCTGCCGCCGTAACCCCCGTTGCCCACATCGACTCCTCGATATTCCCTCGCCGGGAGCCGCGCGGACAAGGCGCCACGAACTCACAAACTGGCCTATGTCGATAGCGGAGGCCAGATTGATAGGATCATACTCTTTTTTTTCCCCTTTTTGCTTCTCCCCCCCCCCCTGAAAGGATGGTACATATATCCCTGGTACAATCTTGGGTTGGAAACAGGTAGGTCTAACATCCGACTAACATCAACCATTTAGATGAACTGGATCTCACGGCCTATAATTAATGAATGGTAACAGGTATGCTGGGACCCTTTTAACGGGGCTGCTCTTTTTTTTTTTTTTTTTTTTTTTTTTTTTTTTTTTTTTTTTTTTTTTTTTTTA